TAACGCACCCCTACCCTCAAACCCCATCATTACTCCCCCTCTCATCCACCAACACCCCTATCCGTTTACTATTAAACATACATACAAGTAAATAAACAAACCAACAAATTAAACAACAAAGAAAAGAAATAAACAAATTTAAAAAATGTAAAATCAAAGAAATAAAATAAAATTCAAACTAATAATCAAATTAAAATAATTACTAATTATAAAATAAAATTTAAAAAAATTAAAAATTTAAATAAAATTCAAACTAATTATAAAATAAAATTAAAAATAAACAAAATAAAAATACAAACAAAGTAATTAAAATCAAATTAATTAAAATCAAACAAATAAGCAAATTACGTAACTCGTTAATAAAAATTACACAATATAAACAAAGTAATTAAAATAAACAAGTAAACAAACAAAATTAAATTCAAACTCATTAAAAAACTCATTAAAATTACGTAACTCGTTAATAGAAACTAATTAAAATTTTAAAAAAAAAAAAAAAAAAAAAAAAAAAAAAAAAAAAAAAAACTCATTAAAACTCATTAAAAACGCATTAAAATTACGTAACTAGGTCAATGATTACGTCACAAGGTCAATGATGACGTCACAAGGTCAATGATTACGTCACAAGGTCACCAAAAGGTGACCTACTGACCTACTCCGCATCCGCATCCCCCACCCTAGGGTGGGTGAGTATTTTACTATATCTCATTGTACATCCTGCTCACCCACCCTCACCCACCTTCACCCAGGTGGGTGAGTATTTTACTATATCTCATTGTACATCCTGCTCACCCACCCTCACCCAGGTGGGTGAGTATTTTACTATATGTCGGTGTACCTCCGCATCACCCAGGGAGTATTTTACTATATGTCGTTGTACATCCGCATCACCCACTCCACCCAGGTGGGTGAGTATTTTGCTATATGTCATTGTACATCCGCATCCGAGTATTTTCCTATATAGCCTTTGTTCCGCATCCGCATCCGCATCCCCCTCACCCATACGACCCAAAAGGGACCTAATATACTACTCCCGTCCCACAAACCACATTACAGGTCAAGATGGGTTTGTTGGGATGGGGGTGGGCTGGGGGAGGTCGTCTTTTAGAAGATTAACATTCTCTGCAAAAGAATCATGCGAAAGTCTAAAAGTCTAAACTTAACAATTTACACATGCGACCTATAGGCATATACTATACTATACATGTCTAGACATGTATAGTGTACACGTCGCAAGTGTAAACGCAGTGTATGGATAGGAGTATATTAAATTATTAAAGAGACAGTTTTTTGATGTTGCTGGAACTATGTCAGGGTGAGTGATGCCGTGACCAGATGGACAGTGGCGTGTGCAAGAGACAGATGTGCTTTGTACAGGGGCGGCCCTACATCACACTTGCACTAGGAGAGATTCAATGTTTTTCGAAGAGAGATCTTTATTACTGCATGACGCGCTTAGCTTTTCTATCGTTTTTCTGTTTGTGTCTTCGTATTGTATCTTCATATTGTATCTTCATATTGTATCTTCATATTGTATCTTCATATTGTATCTTCATATTGTATCTTCATATTGTATCTTCATATTGTATCTTCATATTGTATCTTCATATTGTATCTTCATATTGTATCTTCATATTGTATCTTCATATTGTATCTTCATATTGTATCTTCATATTGTATCTTCATATTGCATCTTCATATTGCATCTTCATATTGCATCTTCATATTGCATCTTCATATTGCATCTTCATATTGTATCTTCATATTGTATCTTCATATTGTATCTTCATATTGTATCTTCATGTTGTATATTCATGTTGTATCTTCATATTGTATCTTCATATTGTATCTTCATATTGTATCTTCTTATTGTATCTTCATATTGTATCTTCATATTGTATCTTCATATTGTATCTTCATATTGTATCTTCATATTGTATCTTCATATTTTACCTTCAAATTGTATCTTCATATTGTATCTCCTCATCGCATCTATGATTGTATTATCCGATTATGGCCTACGGCATCTGGTTGTATCTTCCGATTATATCTTCTGATTGAATTTCATATTGAATGCTTTCATCTTATTGACCCACCGCTTATATCTTCCTTTTTTATCTTTCGATTGTCTGTTTTTCTCATTGAGATTGAGTGAGGCTATGTTCCATACTAGGTCAGTGAGCGAACGTTTCGTACTTACAATGTTTCTTCCAATAAACGAAATTTGATTAAATCTCGGGCCACTCAACTACAGCTAACTCATCCTACAGCAAGATATTACATTTTCAACACCATCTAATAAAGGTATCGCCATACAGAATATCGATACACCAAGAAATGTATAGAATATCGATACTTAAGATAAAGCTCAAAATATCGATAACGTACTATAATGCACAGAATATCGATACATACAGAAATGTTCAGAATATCCATACATACAGTAATGCATAGAATTCGCTAAAAAATAGTAATGCACTTACTCGGTGTTACTGGTTGTGTTAGGCCTAAGTATAAGAAGACGTCTTTAATTTTTTTTTTTAGAAAACTAAGTAAAGTATGCATCCTTTTAAAAATAATTATATAAATAAAAAATAAAACAAAAGGAAAACAAATCTTTATAAAAATAATTTCAATATATTGAGTGTGAACTCAGTAATCTCATTGAGTAGTTCCCCCCACCCCCCTCCCACCCCCAATTTTTTCATATATATATATATATATATATATATATATATATATATATATATATATATATATATATATATATACTTTTTACTATATGATATCATGCAAAGAAGTTTAAGAGCATAGAATCTTCTTTAAGATATGTATGCAATAATATAGATAATGAAAATCTCAAGCTTTTATAAAGCGTTGTTGTTTTTTTTAAATATTATTATTTTACCCCTAAGGCTGTAGATCTAGATCGGCATTTTATTTGAATTTTTTTTCCCCCCAGGTGACTAGAATAGTAACATGCACACAAAGCGATGTTTGACTATCGAGACTTTGATTTAACTATGATTTCTTGTCTATACTGCTCGTACGAAAGCACAGGAAAAAAAATCAACTAATTCTGTTTGACCATTCGGTCAACATCAAACAATGATGAAATGGATTTTTAAAGCTCGGTATTTAAAAATAAACCTCAAGGTGGTGTGTGTGGGAGGGGGGGGGGGGGTTGCTTGTGAAAAAAAATACCTATCATCCGTCATCTTGAGTAAGTCTTATCAGCCATCGACATATCAAAGGCTTGAGTTTTAAGGTTGTTGGTTATTTTTTTATTAAAATGTAGGTCAGCGCGAGATTACATCTGTGTAAGGTGTGTGCAGGGGTGGACTGGCTCGCCGGTCTACCGGAAAAATCACGGTGAGCCCAAGGAACAGTAATGGTCCTATTAGTGTTTTAATTTTAAAAATAATAAAATTTGTTGGAATTTTTCTCCATTTTACCATTTTAATTCCTTCAGTTTGATGGGGAAATGACTTGAAATGAGGCTCAATGAAAATTTAAATCTGCTGAAGGAGACCCCTTTCAAAGTTTCCCGCGCCTCTTCGACACAACAGGTCCATCCCTGGCTGGGTAGGCGAAACGTTATTTATTGACGACCCCAAAGTGAAAATATTTTTAGAATATTAAATCAACTGCTAGCTTAAAACCAATTATATAATTAGGTGAATCGTTGATATATTGTGATATTCGATAACAACGGCGTCTTCGTATAGGGGTGAGATCAGGAGGGGGGGCGTATTTTTTTAATCACATTGCGCAACGCAGGAAGAAAAGAAATCGATGACAAGGCAGAATATTATGTGCTTTGTTAATTGGGAGTAGGTGCGTGAGGGTGGGTTTGATGAAGAGGTGGGGGGGGGGGGGTGAGACGGGTAAGGGTCTGTATGAAGTCGCTTTATCACCATTTGTTATAGGGTCTGTCGTAATATGTGAGTCACACTGGACAATTGAGGGTGGGGTAAAATTGCGTGACCTGTTTACAATTTGTTTCACTTTAGCATGTGTAATCTTACTTATAGACCTATGCTAACTGCATTATACTGCACTATAGGCGGTAGATTCTACTGTATGTTGTTTCAGGGGCGTAGCGAGGGGGGGGCGGGGGGTGCGGACCGCACCGGGTGACACCATTTAGGGGGGTGACACCAAGGAAAAAAATAGCAGAATATATAGAGAAAAACTTGAGGGGGGGGGGTGCAAATCGAAAGTTTGATGGGGGGGGGGGGTGCAAATCGAAAACTTGAAAGTTTGTTCCCGGTAAGGATCGCTACGCCTCTGGGGGGTGACACCATAAAGTGCCGCACCGGGTGACACCCGACCTCGCTACGCCACTGTGTTGTTTAACAACGCACCTATTTAACTTTTGACAAGATGTTTTGAGACTTAGGCTAAGGGAGAGAATCAAACATTAATGACAGCTCCACAATTAAGAAATTAATGCACCTTGAACTGTTTTTCTTACTCATTTATTTTTTCCACAACTATTGACAATGACTCCACGTTCTTAGAAAAAATTAAGATCTGTATCTAGATCTAGATTCTAAATTAAAGTAGCTTTAAACTTTAACTTTAAGCTTTTCAACCAGAGGCGTAGCGACCCTTCTCGGCGCCCGGGGACAAACTTTCGATTTGCACCCCCCTTAAACTTTCGATTTGCACCCCACCCCATCAAACTTTCAATAATTTTTTTTCCAACCCATTTTGGCGCCCCCTTAGGTCGGCGCCCAGAAACATTTGTCCTCCCCCAAAGAAATTACTAAAGATTACCAAAAAGTATAGACTAAAGACTCATTTACACAAGTTTAAAATCAAGTTGAAGAATCGAAAGCTTAGTTTACTTTTTGACCTGAATTAGATTCTAAATTATTTTAGATTGGTAAAACAAAAACAACTCTGAATGTCACGGTTGTTTACTTTTTTTTTCGTTATTTTTTTTGTTCAAGGGAGTCTACTCAAAATTGTTGTTACTATCGAAGCTTTTTTTCAATATGGCTTACTAAATCAGTTGTAGGGCTGAGCTTGATAAGACATCAATGAAGTCAAGTAGATATCTATTTTTTTTTTTAATGTTGGGGTCAAGATCATCGGGGTTATAGATCTAGATCTAATAAAAAGCTAGATCTATATTTATTATATTTAATGAAGTAAGCATTGCCTTTTGTTTTTACCGATTTCTGCAGATTATAGATCTAGTACTAGTAATCTAGGGTAATTTTAATCTATCGTTTTCGGTACGTAAAATCGCCCGCGATTTGTAATGTGAAAAACAGGTGACTCCTTAAATTTTAATAATGATTTCACATTTTGAGGAGGATTTATGTTTTAAAAAATTCAAAAATGTTTCCTTGATTCATTTATGTACCTGTTTTTAAACAATTGAATTAAAACTTTTCCGTAATAAATGAAGACTAGCGATGTTTCCAACAGATGCAACCATGCTCATTTACTATAGCAGCCATCTTGTCTAAGTTTTATTTTTATAAGCTTTTAGCGCCAGATTCAGGGGGAAGCCACTCTATTTTACAAATGGCTGCTGTTTATATAGCAAATCTTGCTCTCCGACACTGCTGTTTAAAGTTAATTTCTGGCCAATATCGATATATTTTGCCATTGATTTAGGTTTATTATTCATTTACCTATAATATTTGACACAAAAGTATGACAATATACTTCTATTAAAGCCTTGACAATGAGGTAACGTTTTCGTACATAAATAGCCGCGGGCGATTTTACGTACCCAAAATGATAGATTACCGAATCTAGAATCTAGATAGATACAGTAATTTTAGTATAGGACAGGTAGCCTGCAGGTAGATCCAGAACTGTAGTAGATCTACTAATAATAATAAGTTAAATAACTAATTTTAAATTTAACTTTAACTAATCTTAAATCTAGATATTGAGATTCAGTTCTTCAGGCTAGGCTAGGGACAATACGATTATTTTTATTTTAAATTAAATTAAATTTTGTTTAGCCTAAATAAATTTTTTTATTTTTTTTTCGAGACTCGAAATAATTCAAAATTTCAAGTCATCTCTTCGAATGCTGGACAGAACGTCGTTGTCGTTTATATATAGATCTAGCTTATTTTATTGTATAAAAATAGTAGGGAGTATAACAATTACCTCTTTTTCTTCTGTGACATAACCCACAAATACCCACCCCTGGTGGGGGCAGGTTAATATCACGGAATTGTGGAATAAATCATTAATGGGAAGGTCATTGATCTGTTGGTGAATGGCAAGGGGAGAAGAATTGATAGGGGGAGGGGTAATATCTTAGACCGAAATTAGGTTACATTATTAGCATATGATAGTTTTATTAAATATTTAGTTATTTATATAATTTAAAAGAAGAAATTTTAATGCTTTTTTTTTAATACAGGATTAAAATTATTGTTCAAACTATCACATTAATACATTTAAAAAAAGATTTTTGAAATTCACCTAAATTTACTCATCAATGAGTATTGAAATTCGGAGCTGCTGAATTTGAGAAAGTTAAATGATGTTTGGACTTCACCAGAGCATCACTTTACCAGACATCAGAACTTTAAAAACATCAAAGATTTCTCAGCCAACAAGAAACCCCCAAAAGATGAAAGTAACATTCTGCACTTCAGCCTCTAACAAGAAAAGGGTGAAAAAACACACACAGTCTCTGATTGTATTGAATCCATCTACAATAGCAAAGAAGTACAATAACAAAAAGATTTTCATCAGAAAGGTACCATCTAGTTATGAGCTACCAAGTCGTCTGGACATTTTAGCAGCTCCACCAGTGAGACATCGCATTCATCCGGTTCATCATAGTATGGTCAACATAAGTATGAAAAAGCTACCACTGTTGGTGGCAATAAAACCTGACAATGAGAGAGCAGAGAAGGAGAGGTTCATGAAAACAAACTACAACTACAATCCTTACTTCCTCTACAGAGGAATCGCAGATCCAGATTCTTTAAAAAAGTTTAAAGCCCCATCTGATCAGTATTTGTCACTGGTAGGCTTATACTTTACATACTTTTTAAAACTTAATTATAAAACATTTCCTATTAATATTTTAAAGATAGATCACAGGATACTAAAGAAAATATAATTCAAAAAATGTAAGAAAGTATAGCCTAATGATTTAACATAAAAAAAGAGTTGATTTTAAATAGTTTATTAGGAGATTTATCTTTTATTATTTTTATTGAATTCATAAGGCTGTATTAATATTGGAAAGTACTTTAGCCTACTTTGGAAGTTATGAAACATTTGATAAAGTGACAGGAGGACCTATTTTGAACAAACAGCAGATCTATAGTCTATGTAAATCGTAAGTGATGTTAAGTTTTACTTAAGATAAAAATTATTTCCTTGTACTCAGTAGCCTTTAGTTAAATAAAAAATTCTTCAAACAAATAGAACCAGTGATGGCCAGGTAAATAAAATCTGGTAGACACATTTTGTTAGATTAATTTATTAATAGACTTACCAGAGATTGTTTAGGTCTGCTATAGTCAAATTGTGGATAAGTGTAAGGTGACAAAAACAGTACTTGTTTATGCCTTTTAACCAATCATTATTCATGACAGTCAAATGCTGATATTCACATTATTAATTTGTTAGAATTACACACATTGACACTTAAGTTATTTAAAACATCTTGGATTGTCAGCTATTTGGCCAGTGAAGATTTAGATGAGGAAGTTCAGATCAACCTCAAAGAAGATTTGCTCAGTCGAGGCTCCATGACAAGAACAGAAGGGCGACCTGTCGTGAACATACGCTGTGTTAACCTACGAGAGCATGGAGCAGAGGGCCTATTACGCCATGAAATTGGTAGGCTATAATTTTTAATATGATTACATGGTCTGGGACTAGAGCAACTGCTTGCCTAAAAGTCTTGAGTTCCCATCTAGCCCTTGATCATTAATGCATCCCTGAGTCCACTCAGCTCTAATGCATACCTGAATCAATGTAATCTATATATATATATAATTCTCTTCTTGGAGACGCTAGAAAACAAGCTGTAAGTGCGCTCCCTACCACCCCACCCCTACATGGTCTGGTGAGCTTTGGTTCACGCTAAATGTTTACAATTGTAGAGCCGGGTTTAGTGACGGTTACTAGGGGCAGATAATTTAGTTTGAAACGATTTTAAACTTAGGGGAGGTAACTAAGAGGAGGCTGCTTTCATGGGGGGGGGGTAGGGTAGGGTAGGGGTTGGGAGAAAGGAGGGAAGGAGGGTGGGAGTAGTATCGTCCTTAACGACCTACTGATAGTGTTTTAAAGCAAATATTTTCAGTGGCAGCATTGGGACTGTCGAATTCACAAATTATGAATTACTGAAAAGTAGAAAATAAAACAACTAAATAGCGGCGTATGATATGCCGCGGGTCGGCTCGTGATTAATAATTACAACTTTTATTCTTTTCTTGATAGTTTATTTAAAAATTACAATCATTTTTTTATCTTTATAATCCCCCAAACCCTTAAAAAAACTTTATTCATTTATCTCCAAAAGCTTCTGATAAAGTATGGACTATTAACTACATCTCTCCAGAGTTGTTTGACCTGGACTATTCTCTTTATCTGGCTCCCAAACAAGCTTAGGTAATGTTAAATACACTTCTAATAATTGACTCCAGTCATCTCTACTACCCAGGAACTCATTATTTGCGAAGTTGTAACAACAGCAAGCAGCCCTGGAGCAACCCCAAAGTGAGAGAAAACTTAAACATGAAGCCCTTTAATCCAACAGAGGAGGGTCTTGCAAGCTTACACAGTGTATTGTTGAGGTATGTGTTTCTCTACTTATATTTTTAAGCACTATATTTCAAAGTAGAAGTAAAAGAAAACAGCAGTTGCTGTTTAAAAAGAATAATGTGTTAAATTGCTGGGTATGTGTTTAAATATTTAGAAGTTTCTAAGGAAACAGATAAAGCTTGCCCATTGTTTTAGACTCATTATTTTTCAAAACTTGGGATATCAAAACAGCTTTTAACAACAGTAGTTAGAGGACCAGCCGAGGGGGTGAGGCATTCATAAATATGTTGACCAATGACATATGTTTTGATTGAATTAATTTTTACTTTCACTGCCTGAATGTAACATTGTTAAAGTATAGAAAATTTAGTTAAAGAAACAAAATATTTAAAAGTTGAAAATTTTAACTAAAAATATTTGATTGTCTACTTAATTTTGATGAAAAAATATGTATAGAAAATTAATCTATTAAATGGTGCTTTTTAAAAATCCTCCTTAGGGATAAACCATTTTTGTGGCAGCCTGCACTACTCTACTATACAACTTTTAAAGCTTCAAAAATGTCTTTTAAAGAAATATTCATTGACCTAGAGAAGTATGTCCAAAGCCCTCATGTAAGGTGGGACTGCTGTTTGAGAGCCAAGCGAGGACAAGTGGATACTTCAAGGCCTGGTAGGTTGTATTCACCATGTTGATTGGTGGTTGGGGAATAGTTGTATTCACCATGTTGATTAGTGGTGTACGCCAAGTGGATGCTTCAAGGCCAGGTATGTTGTATTCACCATGTTGATTGGTGGTTGGGGAATAGTTGTATTCACCATGTTGATTAGTGGTGTACGCCAAGTGGATGCTTCAAGGCCAGGTATGTTGTATTCACCATGTTGATTGGTGGTTGGGGAATAGTTTTATTCACCATGTTGATTAGTGGTTTAGGACAAGTGGATGCTTCAAGGCCAGGTATGTTGTATTCACCATGTTGATTGGTATTGGGGAATAGTTGTATTCACCATGTTGATTAGTGGTTTAGGACAAGTGGATGCTTGGTATGTTGCATTCACCATGTTTAAATGGATATGACTATAGTCAATTGGTAGAGAAAGTGGTTTCCTCTTTTAAATTCTCGCATTTTAACACAATGAAAAACCCCTTTTAAAAAGCCAGTTCTGAAATTATTTTTCCAAGCTGCCTCTTCTTTTATATATGCAAAGGCATAACCAGCTCAAGCTAGACAAACAGCAACATCATGTCCCTTCTACTAACAGGTCTAAGAGCATGTTGTTATTTTTGCTGTTTTTTACTTTTTCAGTCATCTTCCCTAAGCTTTTGTCTTCAGTGTACTGACTCAACTTATTTTAAATTACCACCAGGTGGCTTTTTTAAAGATCAAGTGTATTTGGAAGGAGTCTTGAAGCTGCTGAAAAGAAGGAAAACCTTAGACTTTGAGCTTCTGGTTCGACTGGGCAAGGTTTCATTTGAGGATGTTGGCCGCAGCTGTCTCACAGAGAATGCAAAGCTAGACAAAACTCGTATCCCAAAGTTCATGGAAGATATGGTAGTCTATCACAGACAGCTAGATTATATAGCAAAAACCAATGGCCTCACTGACGATGTGCTCAATTTAGTGGACTAGTGCTAGATAATGCTAATGCTAATGTTAATATATACTACTACATCAGTTTTGAAAAACTTGTTTTTGTTTATAGTAAAGAAGTAACTAATTGAAAATGAGTATTTAGTTTAAATAATAAATTGGTGATCTGACTGAAGCTTTAATGTATGTATATAGTATATAAGAGATGTAAAGAAAACATTCATGCTAGTCATAAAAGAATGTATTAAGACATTATAAATGAAATTTTTTGTTGCGTATTCATTTGGTCTACAGCCCTTAATCCTTTTGTCATCATCTTACACCAGGGTAATTAATGGTTAATTATACTTTTGCAAGCCAAATACGGTCAGTATGGGACAAAAATGTTTTTCATTTTACAATGGCATTTAGTAAATGCTTTTGTTTTCTGAAAAAATGGATAATACTGTTAATTAAAATGTTTCTTAAAATATTAACAGCTATTTCTAAGTCATTTTTACTTTAGCTCTTGTTAAAAGGCAGCATGCCAGATGTTACTTGGTTCAGAATGCAGCATTATTATTGTTTTTTCTATTATATAATATAATTTATCGAGCTTATAATATGCCTATTTACTAGTAACATGTACATTTATTACTTTTGCGATGTTTTAACCAAATGTGTAGATTTGTTTATTTGTGGTTTATTTTCACAACTTGTGATGTACTGTACATTTTAAAATGGTAAATTGAGGAAATAAAGGGAGCAGGGCATTAGAGCCCAGTCAATTACTTATTGACCCTAAACCCAATGGGAATAAGGTAGGCATAGGTTAGTAAAACTTCAGGATGGAGTAAGCTTATTCTGGACATTGCTGGTTTTTGTTTTGTATTCTACAGATAGTATGAGATACAGTGTATTTAGCCAGAGGCATTTTCAATTTTAAGCACAATCTATTTATAACTTGAAAATGATGCATATCTTTCTAACTGAAATATATTTCTTACGTTTTCTGATGTACCAATTGTTCTTCCTTTTATTACACAGAAAAGAGCTAATTCTACAAATTTAGACCTCAAAGAAATGAAAATACCATCCAACACCCGATAACATTTTCTATCAGCAACTGTATAGGTAGTAATGTGTATTATAACCGTTTAGACCAGGGGTCTCCAAACTACGGCCCGCGGGCCGCATCCGGCCCGTGATGTCCTCTCATCCAGCCCGCGGAGATCTTTTTGTCCACGGAAAAAAACGTTTGTTGCTGATAGCTGTGAAACCTTGCCCAGAAAAATCAAAGACATGCCTGGAAGAAACTGGCCCCCGAACTGAAATTTGATAGTTAATGCAGCCCTCGGACTGAAAAGTTTGGAGACCCCTGGTTTAGACCAACTATATTTCCATGGTATACTATTACTAGGAGAGCTAAGAAAAAATCTTAACATGTGTAGGACAACAAAATGATGCTTTGAAGTAATCAAGATATTTTTTGTAGGAGCTTTCCATAAATAATTAGCAGATTTTATGCCTATTCCCCTCCCCCAATCCTTATAAAATAACCAGGCATTTCTTACCACCCAATAGGCTTGAAAAGTCTATGTAATCATACTAAATTTTTTAAAAAATCTTTTAGAAAATATGGCTGGTGATAAAATTATAAAAATTAAATATAATTTTAAAAACTTTAAGCTGTTTTTAATTTTTTGTATTGAATATCAGCTGTTGAAAAGCCATTAAGAATTAATTTATCAATTAAAATATTTTTTAAAAAAACGCCTTCAACCTCATGTTGAAGTCAGCCGGAATGACCAGTAGAGTAAAACAATAAGTCAGAATGATTCTTTTCTCCATGATAAAATACACAATAGTGGTCTATGCTATAAAGCATAGTTTTGTATTTATATAAAACAATATAACATCCCCTATCACCACAATACCCTGTCTCTACTAATCCAAATTAAAAATAAAAGTGTTTGCTAAATTACAATAATATAACTAGTAATTATTTATTTGACTATTTCTAGCCTTTAATAAAAACTGGAAGTCATTTTGCACTTACTACACAAATGTTATTAAATATTCAATTTTGGTTGAAAAATATGCTTTCTGGCAGCAAAAATTTGGAATCAGCTTTTCAAGTCTCTATTTGTCATACAGTTCACCATGCCTTATACAAAGTTACAATTTATTTACCCAACCCAATCCATGGTTAAATTAATTATGTAGGTCCAGAAAAAAATCTATTAGCTGTATGTAATTAAGTACGATAATTTTCTTAATCAGTCAGTAAGAATTGCCTGTTTAATATTATTTATCATGAATGATAAAGATGTTGTCTTTCAAATTGTGCAGTGGGCTACTACAGTGTCCCTAAGTCAACACTGTTATTAACAACTTACATGATACAGCCTTCTAAATGTATATTTATCATTATATTATTGCTAACCACTCAACAAAAATGAATGCATTTGCTTTAGCAATAAAATATGAAAACAACAATAAAATGAGGAAATATTTATTAAAATCTAAGATTGTGCATGCAGAATACAGATTAAAAAGTTAATAAAAATTGTCCTTAGCATATTTTTATAGAACAAATCACACTTATAGCAAAATGGTGAAGCTTTTTTTTCCAAGTTTAATTGAAATTAAATCTCTCTGAAAGATGGAAAACATCAACGATAAGTTGTAAATATTATAAACATTTTTTCAGACAACCAAGCATGCTCACAAGTTAGCTACAATATTTGGTTTAATGCAGTTTAAATAAAGCTAAAAGTTTATGTACACAGTATAAGTAGAGATTAAAAGAAAATAAAACATTAAAGCGACTTAGAGGCTTGACTTAGAGAATACATCACAAGTATCTTGATAGCTTTGAGATAAGAATTTTGTCATCTTTTTAAAAAAATATAAAATTGATTATGAGATGTTCACAGACTCATACTCAGAAAGATTAAAGAATACACAATTTTTAAACAAAATCTGTTTCAAAAAGAAACAATTAACTAAATATAGTTTGTAAACTGGAGCAATAAAAAAAAAATATTAAAAAATTTTTAAAATCACTTTTAAGGATTAAGTACATTCATCTCTTTAAAATCATGAGTTTTCCATTCCTACTTATCAAAGGGAAAATTCAACCTTTAGATTCAACTGGAAGCTTGACAAACATGTGATGAATCCTCTGTTGCTACTATTAGCTTTGTTCATCTTGTTGTATGACTATGAGAAGAAACTCCTTATCTAAATAAAGAGAGAAAATGCAATAGTTATAATAAAAGGGACTGAAACCCCATGGACATCCACTCTTCTTTGAAGTAGATATAGCAACAAAAAAAACCAGTGATTATATAAATTTATAGAAAACACAAAATGCAGGCATAACTATCAAAATTTTCATCAATTTGATAAATAATGTCTTGAATACACTTGTGAAGCAATTGTTCTTTGTGTATTTGGAAGGCCACATCAAATACTGAACTGGAAACAAGTGCCAGCATTATACAGTACTGTTTGTTTTTGACCTGTCACCCCAAGCAACAAACATTCTTAACTCCATCATCTTGGACTGTTGACTTAATAGTCAATCTTTGTTCATCTATTGTATTGTTAAACTTGTTCATTGAGATAACCTTTGACCTTCACCAAACTCTGCATTTTTTAACATAGAAATTGTTACATTGACATATAACAATTTAGGGCCAAATGTTTAAGGTAGAGAATTAAAACAGTAAAATACCCATGAGGTAGATTAGGTAGAATTCAGTGACCTCCACATATATAGGGATAGTGCTGTCAGCACTTTACCCAGCAGTCTTAAGTAAAGAATGTACTTAACCTTTCTTCAGTGTATACAATTAATAAAAAAAACCCACTTTAACTATAATTATTAACACAAAATTATGCAGACAACATAAAGATTAATATTACAAGCTTTCGTGGAGGTGAGTAGATAGGAGGTGACGTACAAAAGGAGGTGAGTAGGGAGGAAGGTTAATAGGGAGGAGGGTTATGTTCAAGGGAAGTGGGTAGGGAGCAGGGTTATGTTCAAGGGAAGGGGGCAGGGAAGAGGGTTATGTTTAAGGGAAGTGGGTAGGGAGGAGGGTTATGTCCAAGGGAAGGGGGCAGGGAAGAGGGTTGTGTTCAAGGGAAGTGGGTAGGGAGGAGGGTTATGTCCAAGGGAAGTGGGTAGGGAGGAGGGTTATGGCCAAGGGAAGGGGGCAGGGAAGAGGGGTTATGTCCAAGGGATGGGGGCAGGGAAGAGGGTTATGTTCAAGGGAAGTGGGTAGGGAGGAGGGCTATGTCTAAAGGAAGTGACTTGGGAGGAGGTTATGTCCAGGGGAGAAGGGTTATGTTCAGTATGTTTGTTTTATAGTTGCTAATCCCAGGGTCTCTTGTTTATACATTTTGTAATTATGTTAAAGATAATATAATATACATACTAAAATAAAATACTAAAAAAAACAACTTACCAGGCGCGCACATGATCTCATTCTTACGGGAACGAATGCGCAAGAACTTGAGGTCATTAGAAGGGTCAATATCTCTTACAGTGCTGCGTGCCTTTGCAGTCAAACTATGAATAAGACTGGCATATTGCACAGTGGTGGAATTGTCCAGAGTTGTTTTAATGGGAATACCTAAAGAATTAAAGATTAGCAAAAGACAAAATTATTTTGTTTTAAGTGTACTGTTCATAGAATTGATATAATTTATAAATCAACTATCTCCTAAATAAAATCTGGTTTTGCTTTCATAAGTCTAATTATTTTTACTTCATTTTATTTAATTGTTTGTGCGGTCCAATCTAAAAACAGAAAGCTACAAAAATTACATTTTTTTAAACCCTCTTTTATACCAAATCAGTGTTTTTTATTACTAAAATTAGGATAAATAATACAGATATTAAAAGCTAATTTAATTGACTAAATTAAGATTAAAAATATACTCCTAAAAAAGGCCTACCTTCACTGTTGACAACTATGGTCCCAGTAACACCCCTGTGTGACTGTATTCTTTTAAGTGTCTCTTCAACTTCTGCAGCCTATTCACATAAAGACAGATGACAAAGTTGAATTATCTAATATCTCATAGCATACAGTTATTTATTATTTGCTTATGTTAAATAAAGTTGTCTTATTATTAACATAATCAAACAAGAAGGACCCTTGAAGGTATTTTGACTATAATAAAAAATTTTGCTTCTTCTATTTTAAAAAAAATTACATTATCAAAAGCTGTGTATTTTTAAAATTCACATTTTTTAAAAACTTAGAAATATTTACTTATTAATACTGTTAGAGTTTACTAATATAAGTAAGTAAGCAATTTTTCAACTCCCTAGAAAAATTCTAAAATGCCTAAGTACATTACAGTTCAAGTTACTAGGATGTTCCTGAGATCCACCCAGTTCAGATGGGTACTAACATAGGGAAAGTAAAGGCACACTATCCCTTTATATGCCGAGGTCACAGAAATCAAGACTCTACTTATCTGCCCTATTAACTGCCAGGTAAGCTTACAAAAGGGAAACATTTTTTTTTACAGAGCCAACTTCTTTGAAGTCTTGGGCATTAAAAGTTAAGTGATAAGTTATTCAAGGGCACTAATCAGACAATGTACCCCAAACCTAGACCAATGATCTAAAAAAATTTTAAATATATTGGTTCCTGAATTTATTTTAAAGTTAAACTGAGTGTTTACTTAACAAGCGATGGATATTGATTCTACTTAGCAAAACATGCTCACAAATTAAGTGATTTCATAAAAAAAAAAGAATTACCATTTCTGTTCTTAACCATTTATAAAAATCTTTGTTTTTATTTGCGATGGTAAAATTAGTAATAGTAACTAATAGTAATAGATTTTTGATTTTCACAAATTGACTCATCAATCAAAGACAATGCTAGTCCCACAACTACTTAAGGGGCCAAGACTCAGTGTCTTCTTCAAGCTTGTTGGCTTCAGTGCATAAAATGGTTAATTCTACTTGGCCTGGCTATAATTGAGTCATTAAACTTAAAATGTATCAGTAATTCAGCGCCAAATAAGCTAAAACCCTAGTGGCTTTGAGATGGATTTCTAGCATTTATATTCAGACTCAGTAGTATGGTTCAAATCTAAACATGGGTAGGCCTACATTTTAATTGAAACTAGTGAACTCTACTTCACTTGCCCCATAGACCGTCAGGTTTGAAAGGGAAACTTTACTTTACTACATTTTAATTAAATTTAGTGAATTTAGTGAGAATCCTTAATAAGTTAATACATAGTAATAATGCCTACCATGGGCATGACCGACTAATTACTCATTTTTATGACCACATGTTTTAATAACACTGAAAACAAAAAATTAAAATAATTAGTTAGGCCTAATTGTAATAATTAGTTAATTAGGCTTGATTAAATCTCTAGAATCCTTGGAGAGACCAACCAGCTTTATTGATATTCATTGATTGATGATGTCATTCTCAGTGTCACATTCAGTGACATTTAGATTCATTAATGACATTCAACTTTTGTAATCCTGCCATGTTGTAGTCTAATGAGTCTAATGTAAATGTAGTATGTAGTCAGTCACCAGCCAGTGTGTCACAACTACCAGACAAAAAAGTCGTCAAAGTCGCCACAATGTAGACAGATAACGCTTTATTTTTAAGATTTAATTGGCATGTGAATAATAATTGTACTGTTTTAAAGTGAAGTGTATTTTTAGATTTTATATTATAAGAAAAATAATAGGTTTAATTAGCTTGCAGATGCTGTAACACACTTACCATTCTGTTCTGTCTGTTATCACCGTTGCTAGGATAGAGCTTAAAGTATGTCGGATTCCGGAAGCTATTACACTTGTAAAATCAATTTAACAGGCCATAAAAATAAACTTTGTTAGCCAGCAAACAGACGATATTATTCAGATTTTAATGACTCATTGAGCCTAGCTTAGATCTAGATTCTAGATCTATATGTTTTTAGTAATTTTGTAATCACTTTAAAAAATTATAGATCTCAAAAATGTTATAGATCTATATAGACAATTTAAAAACTTACAATAATAAATTTTTAATGCAGTAAAACGTTAGAGTCACTCAAGTCATGAACAATGAATTCAAGCTAGAATAGAATTTGACCATTTATCAAAACTCAACAACCTTTAATCATTAATGGCGTCACAAATCAAGGATTGGGAGGGGGTGGGGTGGAAAAGGGAGTTGATGTTAAAGCCTTTGTGACGAGATGGAATGGGGGATGAGGAGGTTCGAGAAATGTGACTAATATTTGTGTGTGTCTATAATTTTAAGAACACAATTTTTAAAAAAAGTTTAAGTTGATTTGTTTTTTATTTTTAGGGCTCTACTCTCAACCTTTCAGACAAGCAGTCGTGTCTGATCCACTTTAAGGACTGGGACACTCAGCCTCTAGGTTAGCAATCACGACAACTCTTTCTTATGCGGTATAAAACTAGTCAGTGTTTCTTTTAGACTTTTTTTCTCCGGGAGGTGGGATAAGGAAGGGGCACTAGAAATGTTTATTGGGGGGGGGGGGGGGGATCAAAACAAATGTTCGGAAACTTGCGAGCAAAATTTCGAACACTTTTTACGCGATTGTATTCTATTTAAAAATTCAGCTAGATTCTATTTAAAAAGTGATTTAAAATATCCCAATTGCACAGGAGTTGCCATCCCCATTAGTGTTATCTAAGAGTATTCGAGAAAGTTTAGGGGAGATTTACTTTTTGAATAGAATTGCTTACTTTAAGAGTATGATTGCAGTAACACTAAAAATTAATTTGCGGTCAAAGGGGGGCAAACATGAAATTATGAAATTATTCCAACGTGTGGTTTATCCGAGGTTATCTTGCATATACTTTTCCGAGGGGGGGGGGGGACATTAGCTTAAAGAAATTAAACAAAAGCTAACGATTTACTAAGTAGCATACAATACAATTCTGATAACCTCATATTCAAAAGCCTTAAAAGAATAATTCAAGTATAAGGTCTTTAACGTATGAAGTTTCGTCAGTCTAACAGTAACAGTACTCAAGTTGTTGTGTTCTCCGGTGGGAGGAGGGACACCCCCCCCCCCGAAGAGATGCCTGGAAGTAACATTGGTTCTCACGGGAATAAAGTACTACTTCCGATTCCTGGAATTAAAAAAACCCGATAGAATTATTAGAATCTAGAAACCTTTGCATATAATACTTATATTTAAAATTTCGTTCACCTAACTTAATAGTACTTAATACTTAAACGGTGCTCAAGTTATAGACTTAAGAAAAAAAAAATAGACGGGCTCCGGAAGGTCAAAATTTGTCAAAATCTCGATTTAGATTTTTTTTTTTTTTTTTTTTTTTTTTTTTGCGTAGGGATGTGTAAAAAGTGTAAAACTGCGAAAATAGTCAAAATCTCTTAAAATGTGTGTGCACGATTTGATTTCTAGATCAAGATTCTAGAATCTAGATCTAGATCTAGATCTACTTCCTCTCTAACGAAGATCTAGTAATGTGTATACAAGGGTTCCCAGAAAGAACCGCAACGGAAAAAAGCGCAACGGAAAAAAGCGCAAATCAAAAAGCGCAACGGAAATAAGCGCACACGGAAAAAAGCGCAAAGAGAAAAAAGCGCACACAGAAAAAAGCGCAAAGAGAAAAAAGCGCAAACGGAAAAAAGCGCAAAGAGAAAAAAGCGCACACAGAAAAAAGCGCAAACAGAAAAAAGCGCAAACGGAAAAAAGCGCAAAGAGAAAAAAGCGCACACAGAAAAAAGCGCAAAGAGAAAAAAGCGCAAACGGAAAAAAGCGCAAAGAGAAAAAAGCGCACACAGAAAAAAGCGCAAACAGAAAAAAGCGCAAACGGAAAAAAGCGCAAAGAGAAAAAAGCGCACACGGAAAAAAGCGCAAAGAGAAAAAAGCGCAAACAGAAAAAAGCGCAAAGAGAAAAAAGCGCACACAGAAAAAAGCGCAAACAGAAAAAAGCGCAAACGGAAAAAAGCGCAAAGAGAAAAAAGCGCAAACGGAAAAAAGCGCAAACAGAAAAAAGCGCACACGGAAAAAAGCGCAAACGGAAAAAAGCGCAAACGGAAAAAAGCGCAAACAGAAAAAAGCGCACACAGAAAAAAGCGCAAACAGAATAAAGTGCAAACGGAAAAAAAGCGCAAACAGAAAAAAGCGCACACAGAAAAAAGCGCAAACGGAAAAAAGCGCAAACAGAAACAGAAAAATGCGCAACCAGAAAAAACACAACGAAAAATGTGCAAAAGAGAAATTTAGCACAAAGACCATATGGACTAGATGACACATTTATACATGACTGTTAGGGCTGCTGTGAGAGTGTCGTGTTTGATCACGTGATCTACTACCATTTAAAGCGTACCACTACCATCTGCATTCACATCACCACGATACAGGCGATAATCACTTTACACAATGCCTATTATTTTCTTGGTCAATAATTATTCAACTACTATTCTCGTATAAACATAAAACTATCGACATTACACGAAGTATCTTTCACATTCTCCCTAGTCCGAACTACCTAGCTTGCATACTATAACAACCCGTTCCTATGGCAAAACTTCACTCTCTTTCATCCGCGTCATCAAACATGCATTCGTCATATCTCTCGTAACAACATTCATTCGCACCAAAATAACAATTTTGTATTTAATATTTTTTCACATCATGACGCACCTACCTACCTACCTACTACCCACCTACCCACGTACCCACCTACCCGCCTACATACTTACCAAACTACCCACCAAAAAAGTATCGGCGAAGTTCGTAAGTTTCGTAAACTGTACTAGACATCTTTTTTTTAATGAAAATTCATTGACATCATTGACATATGTTACATATATGTTACATTTTGGTCTTTGTGCTAAATTTCTCTTTTGCACATTTTTCGTTGTGTTTTTTCTGGTTGCGCATTTTTCTGTTTCTGTTTGCGCTTTTTTCTGTTTGCGCTTTTTTCTCGTTGCGCTTTTTTCCGTGTGCTCTTTTTTCTCTTTGCGCTTTTTTCCGTTTGCGCTTTTTTCTGTTTGCGCTTTTTTCTGTGCGCGCTTTTTTCTCTTTGCGCTTTTTTCCGTTTGCGCTTTTTTCTCTTTGCGCTTTTTTCTGTGTGCGCTTTTTTCTCTTTGCGCTTTTTTCCGTGTGCGCTTTTTTCCGTTGCGCTTTTTGTTTTGCGCTTTTTTCCGTTGCGCTTTTTTCCGTTGCGGTTCTTTCCGGCCACCGTATACAAGAAAGTACAAATGCAAATTTGCGAGTTGCAGACCTGAAACAGGTGTGACGGCAATTTATTTTGGTTGATAGGTACTGTTTTTTTTAAATTGCGACTATGTTTGACGTGGAGTGGGGTGGGGGGAGGATTTATTTACACTTTGAGCTGAGTTTATTCGTAAAAACGTTAGAGAAGGCCTACTGCCATACCGCGTTTACACGTGCAACATGTATACTATACGCATGGGTCCTGTATACATGTTCTAAATCTAGTTCTAAATTATGGCGATGTGTTTTTTCAAGACGTGTACAGTATACATGTCGCAAGTGTAAACGTGGTGTTAATTTTACTTTTCTGTACGCAAGATTTATACTAATGTAATCTTTGCTTTAAAGAGTAAATAGAGTCTAGTCCACTTCAGTGTTAAATTCACCGGACCCCTCCCCTCTTCGCGTGAACGTCTTAAGCTTAAAAAATGACTTAAACGAATGACACCTCGAGTATAGGTCCTACATCTCGATCTAGACTCTAGAGTTAAGACTGTTGTAGGCCTAAACATCTCTAGACTAGACTCACTAGACGGAGTATCATACAACGCCTAATTTAATTTTCACGTCGTCGTTCGCTATCTAATTTTTACTTTAAAATTTAAAATAATTAGATCTAGATCTAGACTCTAGATTAATATCTAATATCTAGATCTAGATCTTTTTAGATTCTAGATCTAGCACAAGAGATGACAGTAATTTAAGTAATTATGATTAAAAATAGAAAATGGTCAAATATTTTTATACATTCCATTCTTCAACGAGAATTCTTTAAAAAACTTTATATTTTCAAATTTATTTCTTGGTCTTGGTAGAAATAATACTAGATCTATACAGAAGCTTTTCCACCTTATTTTAGAAAATAACCTAGATCTGCATATGGCATATAGATCTAGATCTATAATCAATCAGACATTACCAGTCATTTTTACATTTCTTTAGTTGGCAGCTATACCATTAAATATTAAAAAATAATATTTCTCTTGGTTTTTTTTTTAAAATTAAATGGTCAAATTTTAATAAAGTGGCAAAATCTTCTTACGGCTAATTTAAAAATGTAAACCAGTTCCAAAAGTTTTTTTTTTTTAAATATTAATTTCAAATTCATAACAATAACAGAATATTCTGAATGCTATTTTTATTTTTTCCCATGCTGTGCATTTTTATATAAAAATCTGTGTAGTATTTAATTGAGAATATTTTTTAAATTGTAATATTTCTTTTTCCTCAGTTACATAAAAGCTAACAAAATGAAGGAAGTTAACTTTCAAAATGAAGAGGTGGCTAAACACAAATCAACAGAAATTAGTGAACTTGATGTTATAACTACAGATTCAGCAGCTGATGATCATACTACAACATATATGACACAAGAGCTTTCTACTAATAATAACACAGAACATGTTTCAAATGGCCAGTTCAGTCCTTCATCTGATTCAACAAATAAAACTGGATATGAAAACAAGAACACAGTAGCAAAGCTGCACAAGTGTAAAAAGAAATATGAATGTGATGTGTGCCATAAAACATTTTTAAATAGGAAAGATTTATCTATGCATAAAATTCACTCTGGAGAAAAACCACACAAGTGTGGAGTGTGTCATAAAAAATTTATTCACAGGCAACACTTGTATAATCATACAAAAATTCACATCATTGATAAACCATATGAGTGTGAAGTATGCAGCAAGAAGTTTTTTAAGAGGAATGATTTATCTATGCATAAAATTCACTCAGGAGAGAAACCTTTTGAGTGCGAAGTATGTCATAAAAAATTTGCTTTTATTATGAATCTAACCAGACATAATAAGAAAATTCATTCTGGGGAAATAATTGAAAATGATCATTCAGTAGATAAACCGTATGAGTGTCATGTATGTCATAAAAAGTTTAATTACAGGAAACAGTTGTACACTCATAATATATTTCACTTTGTAGATAAACCATACAAGTGTGAAGTATGTCACAAGAAGTTTTTTAATAGGAAATATTTATTAATGCATAAAATTCACTCAGGAGAAAAACCTTATGAGTGTGAAGTATGCCACAAAAAATTTGCTTTCATTACAAATCTGTCCAGACATAAGAAAACTCATTTTGAAGAAAAATTTGAAAAAATGTATTCAAGTTCAAGAATGGATGTCATTCAATCAGAAGAAAAACCTTATGAGTGTGAAGTATGCCACTTAAAATTTGCTTTAGTTAAAAGTCTAGCCAGACATAAGAAAACTCATGTAATAGAAAAACCCGAAGAAATGGATTCTATTGTAAGAAAGAAACCAGACGACCTTCACTCAGTAGAAAAACCTCATGAGTGTGGTGTATGTCATAAAAAGTTTAATCGCAGGAAACAGTTATATCATCACAATAGAAGTCATGTAGGAGATAAACCATCTGAGTGTGATGTCTGCCACAAAAAATTTGTTTTCATTACAAATCTATTCAGACATAAGAAAACTCATTTTGAAGAAAAATTTGAAAAAATGTATTCAAGTTCAAGAATGGATGTCATTCAATCAGAAGAAAAACCTTATGAGTGTGAAGTATGCCACTTAAAATTTGCTTTAGTTAAAAGTCTAGCCAGACATACGAAAACTCATGTAATAGAAAAACCTGAAGAAATGGATTCAACTGTAAGAAAGAAACCAGACGACCTTCACTCAGTAGAAAAACCTCATGAGTGTGGCTTGTGTCATAAAAAGTTTTACCGCAGGGAACAGTTATATCATCATAATAAAAGTCATGCAGGAGATAAACCATATGAGTGTGATGTCTGCCACAAAAAGTTTTCAGGAAATGGCTTTTTAAAAAAGCATAAGCTGATTCACACAGGACAGAATCTGTTTCAATGTAATGTATGTCACAGGAAGTTTGTTTTCAGCCAACACCTAGCACAGCATAAACAAACTCATGATGCAATAAAAACACATGAGTGTGATTTTTGCCACAAAAAGTTCATGTATTTTAAGCAATTATTGATACATAAAAAATTTCACTCTGGTGAGAAACCTTATGAATGTGAAATTTGTCATAAAAGGTTTGCTGGAAATGCCAATTTAGAAACTCATTTGCAACTTCACTCAGGAGAGATAGCCTATGAGTGTGATGTATGTCATCAAAGGTTTTCTCGACAAGGTACCCTAATAATACATAAACAGTTTCACACTGGGGAAAGAAATTTTGAGTGTGAGTTGTGTCACAAAAAGTTTATAGCGAAGGGACATTTGTCTCGACATAAACAGACTCATTCAGAATATAATACAGAAGAATGTCATTTGTGCAAAAAAACATTTTTTAATAGTTTCTTACTGTCTAAACATCTGTATTTGCATACAGTAATGTTACCAGAAGCACAAAAGTGTGAAGAATGTGGAAAAATGTTTACGAGGAGTGATACTCTGCAGAAGCATAAAGACAAGCATGCGGGCATAAAATTACCTAAAAAGTTTGAAGTCCTCAAACAGGTTTTATTGTAATGATAGTGTGCACTAAGTTGAAACTCAGTAACTACTTATGTGATGTAAAATTGGTTCATTGTAAGTTAAGCATGAAATTGTGTGATTCAAGACAATAAATAAAAACTGGGGTGTGTTAATTCAAAGGAATTACCATTATCACATCAACTTAGTAATTTTGATTTATTCAGCTTATTAAAACAGCATACAAATTTTACCATTGCAACCAGTTAATGTATATAATTTTGGAAAGTTGTAAGTTAGAATTTTTTGTACATACTAGACCTATTACTTATTATTTTTATCAGAATGATCTAAAAATTTATTTGAAGCCTATGTGATGTACTGAAAATTATCCACAAAACAAAGTCCTTCTAATGTAAGCCTTTGTTGTTAGATGTTATTATTAATAGAGATATGATCATAAATCTTTGTGTTCAATTAAATTACTAGTAATGGTGCTCTTAGTACTCTTAGCATACATAATGATTAGTTTGTATACTATTTTTAGTACATAAAACCTCACCATAGAAAACCATGTATTAATGACTCCATAACAGTAGATGGTTTTAATATTCCTCGGTTTAAAAAAATACATATTTTACAGGCAACCTCTGATGAATGCTTTAGTCACATCATGGAAAGTAATTAGTGCTTACCACACAATGCCTCTGTGGTATGGATCTTGAACATGAAGGCTACTGCAAGACTGCATTTTGTTCTAAGGTATCAATAGACATGTTCATACCTAAAGAGAGAATTGCAATTTGTGGGATGAAGACAACTTCATTATCTCAAACATGCTGACTCCATTAACCATTTTCTGGACTAACACTTTTTCTGTAACTATTAAATAAAAAACTGAACAAAACAGAAAACTCATGCAAATTATTATTGCAATTTACACACTATTAGACTCGGATGTTGTTATCTATTGTTAATTAAAGTAAAGTGATCTCCCTTCATGTTTCTTTACTAGTGACCATGAAAATCTCTCTGCTAGTCATGTTCCTTTTGAGCTGGATGTAAAGTCCCTCTCATTTTGTTGATCCTTGGCTTGTTACCTGCATTCATCCCAAGGACATGCCCTCCCCCCCTTTCATCCCCTTCAGCATGGTCAGTGCCCACAGGATCAAAAAGAAGAAATATATTTATTTATATTTTCAATTTGTCATTTCTGAAATTAAAACATTAATATAAAAACCAAAACAAAATGAGTAAAAAGAGCTAAATTAAACACCAAAGTTCTTACAATTTTTATTACAATATTATTATATAAATTAAGCATCCTGTTGCAAAATTATTCATGAAAGCTATTGATCATATGTTACATAACTTAATGCTTGGGCAATTATCAATCTTAAAAGCAACAAAAAATAATTTTACTTGCCTTAGAGATTAGAATAAGAAAAAATGATATAATAAAATGACGGAAGCTAGTCTACACAAACAATTCTGGCTTGCAATAATTAACATTTTGATAAATAGGATGCTTTTAATGCTTTCATATACTATGGATACATAATGCCAAAAAATGATTTTTAAAAATATGTATTATAATGTAATCTATACATTTTAAACATGAACAAATTATTATCACTTGTATTATTATCACTTACAGCATTAATATTTCCAAAAATTTCTATTACATTAACAAAATAGACTATAGGCTATACTAAAATGATCTAAGATTTTAAAATAATGTTAGTTAAATTAAGATAACTGATATCCAAGTTAATGTATGCCCTTTATAGAAAAAAAAGCTTGAATGAAAAAATATCTGCTCAGTGTGTTTTCTAGAAGAATATCCAAGCCACACTTGAATGCAAGATTAGAAGTATTATTACAGTTGTTGAGCATTTTATAAAAATAGCTCAGCAAAATGTCTTTCCTTTTTGGAAATTCAGATATTTGTTTGGGTTCTGCTTCATGCTTCTCACCAGTTACAAAGTTCAAGTTGAATTTAACATGAGGAGGATGACTTTCATCAGTCTCATCTTTACTGCCATCTTTATCATCTTTATTGTACAGCTCTGTTAGTTCATGTGAACTCAATGCTCTCACTTGCCGTATGCCTGCCTAGTGTGTAGCTAGTATACTAGAGTCCAGAGTTAACATTCTAGTATGTAAAAAGGGGTGGTACTAACTAATCTGCCTTAATGCTTTCCCTGATAAGCCATGTGTGTAATACATTACATAACATGACATAGAGGTGAGAAATGTTGAGGGGAGAGCAGTGGTACTGGTTTCCCCTTTGTTCTCCTTGCTGGACCCTGAAGGCCATAAATTACATAAGGAGATGCAATCTCTGGTTGGCTGAGATCTAAGAACTTAGTCCATGTTACCTACAAAGAGATAAGTTTTATGGTGGGTTAGATACAGGTGGGGGCTGGGTATCATGGGGGTGAGAAATTGTGAGGGGAGAGCAGTGGTACTGGTTTCCCCTTTTTTCTCCTTGCTGGACCCAGAGGGCCATACATTACATAAGGAGATGCTAACTCTGGTTGGCTGAGATCTAAGAACTTAGTCCATGTTACCTACAAAGAGATGAAATTTTATGGTGGGTTAGATACAGGTGGGGCTTGGCTATCATCGAGGTGAGAAATTGTGAGGGGAGAGCAGTGGTACTGATTCCTCTTTGGTCTCCACCCTGCTAGACCATGAAGGCCATATATTACATAACATGCCACCCCAGATTGTCTGAGATCTGTAACTGTAATCCATGTTACCTACAAAAGAGATGAAGTTTTATGGTGGGCCAGAAACTGGTGGGGGCTGGGTATCATGGGGGTAAGAAATTGTAAGGGGGGAGCAGTGGTATTAATGTGTCTGTTTACTTCCCTGCTGGACCATGAGGGTCATAAATTACATAACATACCACCCCAGATTGGCTGAGACCTAAGAACATTTATTCCTGTTACCTACAAAGAGATTAGAAGTTTTATGGTTGGTTAGAAACAGGTGGGGGCTGAGTCGGCTGTATTGCCCCTTAGGGGTAATAAGTACATGTACCATTTTAAAAATTACCTTGCTAACATCAGGTGGCTTAATATTTACTTTTTAACAGGTTAGAATTGTATTTCTATCATTTAGACACAAGTCTGTTTAACAATTAATACATTTTGTGTTAACTATTCCTATACCAGTGTCATATTCAGTGGTCTAATAAATGAGAAACGTGCACTTAGGGTTTCAAGAGCCACATAACAGTATCTGTTATAACTTTTCTAAACAGGCAAGCTAGTGGACAAAATTGATGTATTCATGTAGATTTAGTTATTATCTAACAAACAAAACCATTATGGTAATGATCAGTCAAGTTTTACTCTGATAATGATAAAAACTTTTTAGCATGGTAAAATGGGACAAATGTCTGCCATTTTGTTTTGGCACCAATAATCACTGTGCAAAAAAAATTAACCAAAATAAAACTATTCTAGTCATGGCTATAAAAATAGTGTTAAAATGTACAACAACCAATGCTCTAATACAGGAACAAAGAATGGGCTTGAAAAACTCATTTGGTTTATTACAAAGTGAAGTTTCCCAAGTTATGTCGATTTGGAAAAAAAGTTCACAAAATGGTTTTATGGAGATGAGAAATTTTAGGGAAAGAGCAGTGGGATTAAATCCTGTCTTATCCTCTCCCTATTGGACCAAGTGGGTCATAAATTACATAAAATGAATCCTCTGCTTCTCTGTTATCAAAGAACAGTTGTGGTTGTTACCTCAGAAGTATATTAGCAGTGTTATTGGGGGTTTTGTGGGGGTGGGGTGTTGATTGGGGCTTAATACCACACGGCTCTTAACGCCCTCCTTTACCCTATTAAAAATAATATGGCGGCAAATAAATGATGGTTTACAGTATTTTCGGTGGTTTTCGGAACGGCTCGACAGACTACGCCATGGTTTTACTGGTTGTTTTTTTTTACTGCTGTACAAAATATACCCAAATATTATTATTAATTACTATTAATTATAGATAAATCTAATATATAAAGTTCAATTCTGTATGTTTGTATGTCGTGGATTACACAGGAATATAAGAAAAAACGATACTTCCATGGATTCAAGTGTTCGATTTCTAAAGTGCTCATGGTCTAAATTTATGAGTTAAAAAATTAATATTGAAAGTGTTTTAAAACAATTTTCATTTTGCATACTTAAAATAATAATTTTCAATATGAACATTACATAATTTTTTTTTAAAAATGTATCAACGTTTATAACATTTCTGAAAATTTTTTACATTTAGTATGATTTAGTCCTTTAGCGCTCATTACGTCCCTTGATTAGAAAAACACAGTCTTCTCATCCGGCCCTCGGAGATCTTTTGGTCCACGGAAAAAAAAATGTTTGTTGGAGGTGGCTGAGAAAAATTTTCAAAAGAAGCTGAAAATGTAGCATTGGGTTCAAATACCATAGACGCAAATGTGGCCAGTTGCCCAGCAAATGACCTCCTTAAAGACATGTTCAACGAAGGGCGGGTGGGTTTTATCAGTATTTACCAAAGGAAGACTTTCCTAATATTAAAACTTTTGCATCAAAGTACCTTTCAAATTTTAGAACAACATAAAAACTTTATCAAGAATGAAGTAGGCCTACGTGAAGAACAATTTGACAACAAACTTGGACCTCGAGTGTGTTGTCGGTCCTCGACAGTGTTTCTTTCAGACTTTTTTTCCCGGGTGAGGGGCACTTGAAATGTGTATATATATATACATACATATATATATATATATATATATATATATATATTAAATTCCGTTTGGGGTAGACGTTCTTCGGGAGGGGGGGGGGGGGGCTCCGCCACCCCGAAGAGATGCCTGGAAGAAACTCTGGCCCCCGAACTTATATTTGATAGTTAATGCGGCCCTTGGGATGAAAAGTTTGGAGACCCCTGCACTAAACGTACTGCTTTCTTCTTATTTTTTAATCAAAGCAGAGGCGTAACGAGGGGGGGGGGACACATATGTCTTATGGGGCGCCAAAATGGGTTGAAAAAATAAATTGAAAGGTTGAGGGGGGTGCAAATCGAAAGTTTGAGGGGGGGGGGGGTGCAAATCGAAATCTTGAGGGGGAGGGGTGCAAAGTGAAAAGTTTGTCCCCGGGTGCTGGGAAGTGTCGCTACGCCTCTGAATCAAAGACAGGCGAAGTAACAAAATACGTCTTTATTCGGGAACGGGAATTCCCGCAGGTTATTATTTGTGTCTTTTTTGCGCATTCGTTTTGTCTGTCCTTTTTTTGTGCACGAAGGGGAATTCATTTTTGTTGGTCGCACCAGAAAACTCTTTTATAGACACCTGCTCCAAACTACAAGAAGATATACAATTTGATATAATATTAGCCGTCCCGGATTGTGTTGTGTTCGAGGTGTGTTGTGTTGGGTTTGGATTTGGTTTGTTTTCGTTTGCTTTTTCGTTTGCTTTTTCGTTTGCTTTTTCGTTTTTTTTTTGTGTTTGTATTGGTGTTTGTGGTTCTGGTTGGGTTTGTTGTTAGGTTTTTGTTTTCGTTTGTGTTTGTATTTGTAATTTTGTTTGCGTTATGTTTGCGTTTTTTGTTGTTCTTGTTTTGGTTAATTGTGGTTAGGGTGGGCAATGCCGGGTATATGATGAGGCCAGAGCAGGGCCTGGTCGGGACGGCTAGTGAATAATAAACCTAAATCAATGGCTTAATCAATATAGGCCAGAAATTAACTTTAGTTTAAACAAGAGTGTTTGCGAGCA